AATGTCACCAAGGTATAAAACAGTACATCATCGAGCAGACTGTAAACCTGCTGCATTGTTCTGATCTGCATCAAAGTAATTATGGCATCCATTTTACTGAATACTCATTAAATCTTGTACCAATGCAGTAAACATTAGATCTTCATCACCTCAAACCATGTTCATAATGAACTGCGATGCAGACTTCAGGTCGTGGCTTTCCTGGCCCCAGAGCAACTCTCAAATCCTCTTGATATCCCTCTACGCTACACTCCCCCCCCTCATTTAATCAAGCAGAGGAATTACCAGGGGAAGTGATTAGGTACAGGTCTTTAGTTTTTTCTCTTTCTTTTTAAAAGCGTAATCCTTTCAGCATAGTAAAAAGAAAAAAACTCCACAGATATCCTGGCATTGTGCCCCACTTTCTCTCTCTTTTACAAAGAGACTGCTGCATGGTTCTCTTTTGAAATGAGAGTGGCAAATTAAAAGTTATTGTTTGCCACTTTTAAAAGCATTTTTTTTTTCCCACCCACCCACCCCTCAACCCCTGGTCCACGTCTGGGGTTTGTCCTGCTGGACATCTTGGCAATTTATGTAGAAGACAAAGGGGTAAAGGTTGTTACCCATTTTTCCTGTCAATCAAGATGTTAAACAGATCTCTGATGGCCTGACTTTATGACATTATAAAAAGATTCTCAGCTGCTCGAGTAAAATACGGCTTTTGAACTGAACAATAAACACGTTTTATTTTATTTTTAGGAAACAAGTGTCCAGCATGCAAACTCCAAAACTATCCTTTGTACAACTGTGAAATGTACACTAAACTTTGGACACTTATGAATGAATAATATGACAGGCTTTTTTTATTATTATTAATTTACTTAATAAGATGTCCAGTTTGTCTAGTAAAATATGGCTACGGAGATGCTTTGGAACTGAACAAGATTAATTAAAAAATAAAATAAATAACATTTGTTTTAGCAGCTAAGTGAATTGCAGTACTGTTTAAAAACAATCCTTTGTACATTTGTAACATGTACACTATATCAAAAGTTTGGACACACTTGAATGTGTCAATATAAATATTTTTTTCTTTTTCTTTTTTTAAAATTGAATTTTCTTTATTTAATTTAAGATTCTTAAATATTATATTGTATTATTTGTTTTTATTTTGTGTTTCTTTTTAGCAGCTAACAAGTATGTGAATTCCAGTACGGTTTAAAAACCATCCTTTGCAACTAAGTTTGTGCAGTGCACAATTTGAATATGTATTATCAGCAAGGAAACTCCAATATCATCTCACTTTGAAGAACTTCAAATATAAGAAAGACCTGATTTGCCTAATATTTTTGGTCAGTACATAATTCCATATGTGTTATATTTCATAGTTTCGATCATTTTACATTATTTAAAAAATACATCTAAAAAAAAAAAAAGAATACATCTAAACTTATATTTGGTCATGTACACCTAAATCTTAACAAAATATAATATACCACCTCACTGAAGAAAAAAAAAACACCTTAAAGATCACACTGTTTTCTGATTGACACATACCGCTGATCTTACAATGTTTCACAATTCCACCACAGTGCATTTAATAAGGTTTAATGAGCAGGCTTGTTAAGTAAGTCGTACACTTAAAGCAATGGAGTGTTATGGTGGGATTTTGTGTTCCTCTCGCTGCATTCACAGACCAGCTGCAGCTCGTCTCAGTGGCTCGAGTTCCCATAGTTCCATTAATCCCACAGCAGCACTTGAGGAGCACACACACACACACACACACACACACAGGAGGCAGAGAGGAGTGGGTGGGTTGTATTGTCCTAGCCTAGTTTATCATTTATATGCTCTTCTGTGAGATATTAATGCAAGTTAGCCAAAGAAATGCAGAACAGCTTTTTCAGCAGGCATTTCAAAGCAGTATCACATGCATCTGACAGATGGGTTCATCCTAACATCCTAATCTGCCTTCCATGAGCCAATGAATATATATATATATATATATATATATATATAGTCAACATTTGAAGTGGATCAAAACATTTCATCACAGCTATACATGAATTTTGAACAATACCCGGTCTTGTCTTAGGACAACTTTGATTCACTTTTTTGATCCACTTCAAATGTTGACTACTATATATATATAGCATTTTTTATAAATAGATTTTTTAGCCAAGCCCTTTATTTAAAAAGTACTCTCTTCACTGTAATACAGTACTGAAAGTCACACTGTTTTTCCACATTAAGAATAAAATGTTTTGGCCTGCATTACAGTGATAAGCATTTTGGAGAAATGTGTTGTATTTATGTTTTTCTATAAAGAAGTTCAAGTGCATTTACTTTAATAAAATTAAATGCAAATATAATGAAAATGATGCAAAGCCATGAAAGGCATTTTAATGGTCTTAGACTTCATTTATGCAAAGTATAATTTCCTATATAGTTTAACTTATATTTATGTTTATCTTTTCATTTTGGGGGGAAATCTTGTTATTTTAGTTTTATTAATATTTTGAATTAGCTTTTATTTTTATATTTTTAGTTGTCGTGTTAATTTTTTTTTTACGTCTTTTTTTTATTAATAATTGCTATTTAGATTTAATTTATTTTTTATTTTGTTTTTGTTTATTTCCAGTTAATAATTTTAGTGCTTCAACAAACTAATTTCAATAATAATCTTTTATTTTTATTAATATTGCTATTTAGATTTAATTTATTTTTTATTTTGTTTTGGTTTATTTCCAGTTAATAATTTTAGTGCTTCAACAAACTAATTTCAATAATATATATTTTTCTTTTATTAATATTGCTATTTAGATTTAATTTATTTTTTATTTTGTTGTAGTTATTTTGTTTTTATTTATTTCCAGTTAATAATTTTAGTGCTTCAACAAACTAATTTCAATAATAATCCTGGGTGAAATATGACCCAGACATTATTTGACAGATTTTGTTTTACTTTTTATCTTACGATCAAGAATACGGAGCCCCACACTAGACATGCAGACAAAAAATATATGTCATGGCCACAAATTAGGAATTTATTCCCACAATTTATTAATTCGTACCATCGTTTTGATTTAACTAAAACAAGGGAACAAATTATTACAACATGGTCATGATTTGGTAAAACGAGAGAACTATTATATTGTGTGCGCAATTACATAAAACATAATGAACAGTGAACGTGCTGACGTAGTAAGCCTTAGGAACTAATTGTTCAGTTGTGGCCACAATATACATATTTGTTTCTCTGCATGTCATGTGTGGCTCCGTCAAAACCTAAAATGCAACACTACTGCAGAGAGCAAGTCCATGCTAAGTAAAGTAGTGGAGTGAAGATGTGTATGTGCTGGATGTTTGTTTGAATGTGCTGTGGGACAGAAGGTGAGTTTGAAGTTGTCCCTGCAACATGAAGACTCTCTTCCACTAACCCTTTCATGACATGGCAGGAGAAGAGAGACAGCTGGCGCTCAGGCTGAGGGCGTTTATTTACTTCCACCGGCAGCAAAGGAAAAGCGCTCCACAAAAGAGGGCTCATGAATGGGCTCTCACTGGGGAAGCCTTCCTAAAGTTCTTTATGTGGGTCTTCCATTTAAGCACGGCACTTTTTGTTTGTTTCTCATAACAGCAGAAGCTTTTGGGACATATAATCCGAGAGCGCATGACCTTACACACTAGGTCTGACAGGAAAAGAGGGAAAAACACAAACAAGCTGCAAAATAACAGTCTGGCATTCATAAAACAGTTTTGTGTTACTGAGATATTGACATATGCGATAGTTATGGAACATAATAATTAACGTAACAGTCTTGTGACTGGTGTGTTTTTCTTCTGCAACATGCGTGTCATCTAGATTCTTTGTTTCTGTGCTGAATTCATCTTTAGTATTTGATTTCCTACTTCCATAGAAACCTTTTCTCTCAAATATATATCAAAATAATTGTTCAGGATATTTAAACAGTTTAAAAATCTATTTAATCTGTGCTAAGATCATTTGAAATATTTTCTAATATGTTCTACTTTTTCTACAGATTCTGCGATTGTATTTTCTAAGTAAATTTTCTTTATTATTATTATTATTTAAATGCCACATTGGTGGATTGAAGAATCAATCTCTTTTGAAAATAAACAAAAAACTAAATGTTTAAACTTTTGGGTAGTGCTAGAAAACAAAATACTTAACAAATTGTATAGGGTGTCAGACAAATGGATGTATGTTTATTGTTATATTGCATTCATTCATTTTGGACATTTATTAAAATCCGTCATTCATTCAAAAAGCAATTTATTTATTTGAATGCTTATAAATTCATCCAGAATTGTGCAGGAAATAAACAAGGATGGTAAACAGAAAAACTGTACCGCCTTTTAAACACAAAACTTGGGTTAACTGAAAAACCAGCTGTAAAGAGTTCTCAGACTAACTTAAGTGCAAGAAGCTTGTGCAAGATCATTCAAATGAAACTTTAATGATGAAATATGTTTGAGCTTTTATGCTATATGACATTCATCTGACTGACAAAGGTTGCCCTCTTCTGGTGAAATCAAAAATATGTTTGTTTTTTTACTTCACTTGTAAGATACAAACATTAAACATATTTCTAAACTAAAAAGAGCCGCTTTTCTTCAAATAAATAATCAGATGTGTCATTACTAAAACAGATTTAGTTCGCTTGTTTGAGAAAACTGTCCCAAATATGGAGAAATAATTTACATTTACAATAAAACAGTAGAAAAGCATGTATACATCTAATATTTTTACATCTAAGTTTTTTTTAATGTATTATTACTTTACCAAAGTAGAATGGCCAAAATACGTTAAGTGACCTGAATCTGATATACAGTATAATGTGCAATAATTCAGAAGTTACAAAATGTCACATTTACGAAAATATGCTTCCATGATTATCTGTTCCAGTAATTTTGTTCGCAATAAGAAGTGTTGAAGTATTCAGAATATTTCCAAACACGTCAAGACTGTATTTAAAATGAACAAAATATGTATAGTCTCACTGAAATATAACTTGAAACTGCTTTATATCAAAAATAATGTTGTAAACATGAAAAATCCTGTGTCCATCTAATTCCCATTGACAGAGTTTTAAATGAAGAAACATTCGTGTTCATAGCTCATTAGTCCATCCTAGAGTTTCTGAATTACAACTTGGAATTTACCTATAAAGAACAGAAAAATGATTTACAAAGGCAGTGAAGACAGTCGCAGTCTCAATAACAGTGTCAGATCACACTTTATCAGTGGATACACTTGTCATTAAAGAACCATCCAAATAGTATATCCAATTTTATCTGTTTGTTAGGGCATTCATATATTTAGTTACTAAGAGTTAAAAGGGTGAGATATATAAGGTTGATTATAAGGTTAGCATAGACTTACATGATGGCATTAAAGAGACCTCTGCGGTCACTACACCCTCCAAGCCCAGGTTAGAGAGAGCGCCCCGAATCATCCCACAGGAAAAGGCCAAGTACTGCAGAGAGGACATGTATAGATCCATTTAGATTTCACATCTTATGGTTTTAAAATATAGACAAAATAAAATAAATGTCAGAAGAATATGATATAGTATGAATGGGCCTAAATATCATTCTCACTTTTGGAGCCTCCTCAAGGTATTGCTTTCCACTGGAAAACTGAGTAAGTAGTGAAAATTTATTATCCTGTAAGACATATGTGCCCTAGAACAAAGCCAGAGAAAATAAATTACAATAATGCTACATGTGTTGCCACATATTAAAATGCCCCTATTATGCTATGTTAAAGGTTACCAATTTTGCTTTGTAGTCTCCAACAATAGGTTTACATCATTTCAAGGTCAAAAAACACTTTGATTTTCTCTTAACATACATTGCAGCATCACCTCTTTTCTCACAGTGTCTGAAACCATCTGATAAAGATCTAGTTCTCTCTAAACCCTGCCTTTCCGAGAGCCTACTCTGCTCTGATTGGTCCACCGCTCACAACGTGTGTCAGAAACGTGTGACACACTGAATTTCAGCTCTTCCTCAACACTTGATACACAGTGATACGAACATTAATGATGAAGTCGGTTTTACTGTATCAATTCGAGCCTGAATCCTCATCCTTTAGAAGACCATGCATAGTAGATTTGCTTTGGCAGCATAAAAAAAACAGTCTCTTCTCCACATGTTGACAACACAAACCAAACTCTTCCAGGTCTCAGATAGAACTACAGTATTTGAGGGAGGAGAGAACTAAAGTACTGTAGCATTGTTTACAGGCAGCCAATGAAGACCATAGGCTGGCATTATACAAATTTGCTCCAAAACTATGTAGGTTTGTGCAGGAAGTAAGACTGGAATTACTGACGACTCGTTTCAGGCAGTTCAGAATCAATTCTTTCTTTGTAGAGACAATGACTCCCTTTATCATGCTCTTTGCAACTTTGCAGACCTTTTATCTTCACAAACAGCTATATTACACACTACATGAAAGGTAATATCATAATAGGGGCACTTTAAATACATTATTGAACCTTCAGACCTGATGGTTAGTCCTCAAGTTGTCGATTTGTTTTTTGAAGACGGTGCTCCAGAAGTCTTTACAGAGGAACTTCATTACATCCAGGTCATCTTTGAAACTGGGGCAGTCTTTTGTAAACCTTCTCAAAAACATATGCAAAATTATGCCATCATTATATATTTGTAAACTCTGGATTGCAAAAAAAATGATAATAATACAATGTAGTGCATATAAAAACAACGTGGGTTGCACTTTATTTGACAGTATGTGCAATTACATGTACTTGCAGTGTACTTACCTAAGAAAGTACTGGGTAAACATGGGTTACGGTTAGGTTTAGGGGTTGGTTCAGGGTTAGTAGCTAGTTATTGCACTATAATAATTACATAGTATGTACATGGGGAACAGGGCAGAAAATAAAGTGCTACCACAACGTGTATAACTCTGTACATCAGAATACCTTTCAATCAGTCCTTGTCCAACTCTGAAGCCCATTGCCTCTAGTGTAGATACACACGTCACTCTCTCCTTAACAAAGCAAATCAGAGCATGATACAAATGCAAAAGACAAAATGCTATAACAAATCATCATTAAAGCAAAGGAAAAATATATGATATGTGCAGTCTGGACATTTTGTAGACTGCAATGTAAGATGGTACCCTATCAATGTCCTCTCGGGTCGCATGTTCCTTGTACACGTGAGAAACAATCTCCATATGGAGGAATTCAAACAGAGCGTCATCTGCCATATCTGAAAGAGAACATCCATGGAAAGTTCCTCAAACATCTGGAAACACTCCTGAAAAAAATAGCCATTTCTGGGTTTAACCCATTCAGGCCCACAGGCAAACTGAAGTGGCTCTACCACTCTTTTTTCCACCTGAGAATATTTTTCAAACAACTAGAGATGTTTTAAAAACAGCTGGCATTGAAGTATAAAATCAGAGAAATAGTTTTTGACAACCTCACTGGATAATGTGTCAAGTGTGGATTTTGAATCGGAGAAATAGCCATATTTGTAGCCATAATAGCCATAATAGCCATATCTCTGTGGATAAAAAAAAAAAAAAACTGTATAAAAATGTAAAACTAAATAAATAGTAAAAATAAGCTTAAAGTAAATGAAGAGATAAATAGATCAAATACACAAATAATACATCTACTGTAACAGGACAGTACTATAGTGAGTAGAAAAACTACTTTAAATATATATTTAACATGTTTATTATATAAATTTTTAACAGTATAATCTCTTTTAAATAACGTTACATTTGACCTTTACAGAAGCTGTCTTCAATGCATGTGTTGTTTACGTGAATTAATTAAATGTATGTCATCAATACCATTGACTGCAAGCTTACTGCTAAAAGTCTGCTTTATACGTAAAGCTAAAAATCCTAAGAATGTATAAAATGTTCACAATCTATATGATTGAGATAAAGACAGCTGCTCAGACAGCTAAGTTAATGTTACTGCACCTTCCGCGATAGAACTGTTAACGTGCTCCACCTATTGACCATAAATATGATATGGCATTAACATAAACACACGTTTTAAAATACTTACTCCTTGCACGTATCTTCAGTAATCAAATAAAAATACATTTATGAAAACCCCCTCAGATGCACAAACTCCGTCTTCAGTTCTTCAGTGTAGTATCGCTGATACTACTGACAACCAATACTGCCACCTGCTGTTATGGAGAACAACGACCCGATCCGATATCTGCGCTCACTCATTTAACCTCCATATTACAATTTATTGTAATAATATCTCACAATATTACTGTTTCAATTTTTTCATTAAACAAATGCAGCCTTGGTGAGCATAAGAGACATCTTTCAAAAACATCGTAACGAACAGCGTACTCTTGAACAGTGTCTCTCTCTCTCTCTCTCTCTCTCTCTCTCTGTGTGTGTGTGTGTGTGTGTGTGTGTGTATATATATATATATATATAGAGAGAGAGAGAGAGAGAGAGAGAGAGAGAGAGAGAGAGAGAGAGAGAGAGAGAGAGAGAGAGAGAGAGAGAGAGAGAGAGAGAGAGAGAGAGAGAGAGAGAGAGAGAGAGAGGCAGTAAATTGTGTAAATTTGATTAAAAAGTTACTTTACAATTATATATTATAAAATTAAATAAATAGGTAAATGATAAAAACAATTATTATATAACTAATAAATTATATACTTATAAATATAAATGTATCATTAGGTTGTCTTGTTTTTAAGTCAATTTCAAAAGCTACGTAAAATAAGTTGCTCTACTTAAGTACAATTAAATGTGTAAATTTACTACTTCCGCTTTAGTATGTTTTTAGCAGGACACTAACGTTTGGTAAAAAAAAAAAAATAATTGGCAAAAAACCCATACTTGAACGTAAATTTGATTTCTCAGTACCCTATGTGTACACTAGTGAGAAAGTTCTGATTTCTGAAATCAGTGCCATTACAACTAATCCAAACCTGATTTATTTTGCATGTGAAAAATATCATGACACATTTCAGTGAAATATTACTTTATAATAAGAGGCAAGCAGTAATTGAAATTAACAGACTTATAAGTTCATACTAAACCACATATGAGTTGACATTAGACATAACATACACTCTTTTGTTAAAATCAGTAAGTGTGTTCCAAACATAATTGGAAGAAATTCATACTTTTGCACATCTTTAAGCTTACCAATGGCCTTTTTTTTCTAGGATACTGCAAGATGATTACAGACATAAAGCTACCTTGGTCCGAACTGCAATTTCAAAAGTTACTTACCATCTAAGATTCACATTGAGTGTTAGTTCGCAAACAAACCAAAGTAAATAAATAATAGCAATAAGTCTATTGTTCTATTTCTCCGAAGTGTTACTGATTAAAACATCAGAGCACTGAATATAATACTTTCCTATGAAACTGAAAAAGAAAATGCACATGTTGATGTTTCAGATATTGCATCAGACAAGCAACATCCTGAAACATCTACAGGACAAAAGACTTATGGTGGTGTTGTTCCTACCGAATACATAACGTCCCAATAAATGAACATCACTCAATCGTGCTTACACAATCCATTCTGCACAACAGCATTCTTGGTTGAGGATGAAATCTCTAAACAAGGTGGGCTAGAAGTGCTTTCTTTGCACCCCTCCGGGGTTTGAGAAGTCTCAGTGTTACTGCCCGATTGAGAAGGTGACCTTTTGTGGACTTCCACGAGAGAGACCTTCCAAGGACAAGCTGTTGGTTCGATTTTGGGCATGAGGAACATGGGACATGGCTCAAGAGTCTGCGTTTGAGCTTCATGCATGTTCAGACTAACTAAGGAGTCCGTCTCTGAGGATTCGAGCTTGGGTTGGTGGTTCCTGGTGAAATTGGAGAGCTGCTCCAGGACCTGGATCTGGCGGTCCATCATTCCCAGCATGCTGCAGTGGAAGGCTCTCTGCTCGGCCAGCTGTTCTCCAAGCCGGTGGTTCAGGATGGTGAGCTGCTGGAGGATGAGGCTGCTGGTCTCCTCAGAAGTTCCTGCTGGGATGAAACAAGAAAAACTGTGACTCATGAGGTCATTAAAGTCGTCATGCACTTCATTATTTTTTTTTTTAATTCATGTACGCTTATAATCTTTGATCAAATACGTTAATCTTCCCTCCCCCCTCGAAACGACTTCTCTTCTCTTCCGGTCAAAAACTATTACTAGAGGGCGTGGCTATTGGGGTCTGTCTCGTTTCTGGCCCGCCTCTCAGAAACCTGTCAGTGTCACTGACAGCCAGCAAATATGGTGTTTAGGTGCATTTTTGGTTGCGCTCCTCACGTCCTCTTTCCGATCCCTAAACAACCTTGTCTGCGTGCCCACTGGCTCGAATTCCTGCATTTCGAAGGAGGAATATCGGCGAGTTCGCGTCTGTGTGCAAGGCATTTCACTGAAGAATGTTTTAAGAATTTGGTACGGTATAAAATGGGATGCTCTCAAGGGTGAACTTGACTATCAGCCGCCTCATCTTGGTTCGCGGGAAACTCAGATAAATATGGGGTGATTCCTTCCGGAAAATTTGGCTGCTCGTCCTCGTTCTCATCGTCGGGTTCCTCAATTAAAAATTCTTCATGGCAGGGTAACGGTGGTGAGTCCAGTGGAGAGAAATCCTCCACAAGTGACTGTAAACTGGCATTCAAATCAGCCTCCATTTTGTTAGCAACGCCCAACCTCCAACGATCCAATCAATTCCCGAAGGATGAAATCAAGCCCCGCCCTACATTTTTTCTAATTTCAGAAGCCGTTTCACTCGGATACACGTCAAAATAAGGAAAAAAGGACAATCTCAACTTCCGTTTCATGACGACTTTAAGGGTGTGTTCACACTTGGCATGTTTGGTTCGATTAAAACGAACCCTGATGTGATTGCTCTGTTAGTGCGGTTCATTTGAATAAGTGTGAACGCTGCCATCCAAACACTGGTGCGCACCAAACAATCAGACCAAGACCCCTGAAAAGATGGGTCTCGGTCTGCTTCCAAACGGACTCTGGTGCGGTTCGAATGAAACATGAACGCAACATGGACCAAAGACACGTAAACGAACCAAAAACGAGACATGATGTCAAAAGGTGCGGCCCTAAGAAGGACAGAATGCTCAAGTCAAGCATATCTGTCTTTTCTAGCCATAGTTCGGTACAAACATCGGAACCGCAGATCTTCGTTTGTGTGTGTGACGGAGGGATTCCTGCCGCTGTTTTGACTCCTTTACACATTTGATAAGCTCTTCACAAATTCTCAGCTGGTCAAAATACCATCATATTTAAGCTACGCACATACATCGAGCGCATTTATCCCAGCACACAGCATTGTTTTGGATGCTCGGTAAGTTTCCATCACGAAATATATGTAATAAAAGCCGACCGATCAGGTTGTAAACATATTCCTATGCCTTTAGGTGCGGTGTTAAAATGCCAGTGTAAATGCTAAGCGAACCAGGACTAAATGTTTTTTTTGTTTTTTTTGGTTAGGACCAAATTACACCTGTGAACACACCCTTAGTTTGTTGTACCACACAGAATTGAACCAGTATGTCACCTGGGAAATCGTCGTGGCCGCAGTCGGCGGCGTCTCTTGTACTTTCTGTACTGTTGGGAGTGCACAGGGATGGTGGTTCGGTCTTCACTGCATAGAGGTATTCTCCTGACAAGCCCAGGGTCATAACTTCATCTGGTCCTACAGCCCAGCTTGGAGGCTCAGAACCAGCCATGACATCTGGATTCAGGCTCTCATCAACATCAGGTTCAAGTTTAGACATGCTTTCAGGATCACAGTTCGGGATTATGCCTTCAGGGATTACGCCTTCAGGCCAAGGACCTGAAAGAGGAGATAAACAGGACCAATCCTCATCTCGTACAGTGATCAAAATTAAAATGGACACAATTATAAGGAGCAACTCTAGAGAGACTCAATAGAGATGACATTAAAGCGATACTCCACCCAAAAATGAATAAAGGTTTGGAACAACATTAAGGTGAGGAAGTAAATAATGCCAGAATTTACATTTTTGGTTGGAGTATCAAACCTGTATCAAAGTCTGTGTGCAAACAGGAAGTCTAACTCAATGATTCCCCAAAAGTGCACATTTTGGATGTTTGAGGCCATGTCCACACGGACACGGGTATTTTTATAACCGGAGTTTTTCCTACAGCGTTTTTAAAAAAAATCCCGTCCACACATGCTCGGTCTCCGTCAACATGAAAACGTAAAAACACACAATCAAGCGCGGTCAAGAGCATGCCACGCCAGCAGGCGGCGATATAAACCTTAACCCTAAAGCCACGTTGGCCAATCAGAAGCGCAAATCTGATGTCAAACACAGCTGATAACGGCGCACACTCTGACGTCACAAGGCAAAAACCCCGGTTTCACTGTCTACACGACAACACTGTAACCGGCGTTTCTGAAAATCCTCACCCTGGCAGGGGTTTTCAAAAATGTTCGGTTTCAGTGCGTTTTCGTGTGGACGAACGGCCGAACCGTGTAAAAAAAGTCACGGTTATAAAAATACCCGTGTCCGTGTGGACAGGGCCTGAGTCTCCCTTATCTGACCCATCTATTTCTGGTCTTGGAGTCTCTACTAATGAGCGGAGTTGAATCAGGTGTGTTTGATTAGGAAGAGTTCGAAAATGTGTTTACATGGCACCATTTTCACCTAAAAAATTCAGAAAACGTTTTTATGCGTTTTGGCCGTTCATTTACACGACAACAGCTTTTTGAGAGCCTGTAAATGAAAATGTTCAAAGTGCAAATTTTTGAAAACGATACTGTTGTAAACTACAAAAACGTGAATTTGTGAAAACGGTGACGTCATCCGCATGAGTATTATGTGTTCAGTCTATAGGTGCATAGTGTTTCTTTACAAAGGGACATCGCCATCTACTGGCCCGGTAGGAATAAGACAGTGTTTTTAGTTGTTTTTGTGGATCCATTTGACAACGTTGTTGTCTGTATGTGAAAAACGCAAAGGAAAAAAATATATTTTTAGTACACCGTTGACATGTAAACGTACCCTTGGCGTTATTCCAGAAACAGGGTTGAGAAATGCTGATCTAATTATTGCCCTGGCCTGAAAACAAGGCAATAATACCAAGAACCTGATCAAATTAAAGGAATAGTTCACCCAAAAGTCATCCCCCTCATGTTGTCCCAAACCTGTATGACTTTCATTCCTCTGCAGACACAAAAGAAGATATTCTGAAGAACATTGTCAACCAAAGATATTTCTCAAAATATCTTCTTTTATGTTCCGCATAAGAAAGAAAGTCATGTGGATTTGTAATGAGGATGAATAAATGATAACAGAATTTTCTTTTTTTGGGAGAACTCTCCCTTTAATATATTGTATAAGATCATAATTCTCAATTGGCAGGTCATGAAGTACAAATAATAAAATGTAACTAACCATATTACAAAATTACTATAAATGATTAAGCCTATTAACTTATAATTGGGAGCATAAAACAGTTCTCATATCTTTTTTCTTTGTCTTTTTTATGACGTCAAATGATGCATGTTAAGGCTGTAATGTTGTGACATGCCACCATGCATAAAAACTATGAACAAACCTGTAAAGTAAGAAAATATGACTGGGTCGCCACAATTTCTAACGTAAAAAATATAATAGTTTACCCAAAAATGAATATTCTGTCATCATTTATACACCAAAACCCAGGTGACTTTCTTTCTTCTGTGAAACTCTATTTGTGTTCCACATACAGGCTCTTTCGACTACAAAGAAAGAAAACTGGGAAATATGCTAATTTGACACTGTTTATGTCAAACCTGGTGCAACCAGTCTTGACACACCATATCTAAATATATGTGAACGTGAATAGTATTTGAGCGCTGTGGTGGAAGTGGAGATTATCAGTGAATAACAACTTGCACCTCACAAAATCGCATGACTTTAGAAGATTTGGAATAGAGTGCACCAATCATAAGGAGCATTTTTGTGACATTGTCGTGAGCCTGACAGCATCCAATTACGTCCTCACATTCAGTGAAAGGAGAAGATCAACATTCAGCATCCCATTCTAACATTACTATTCCACAAAACACAAAGGTCTGGAATGACATGAGGGTGATTAAAGGACAGAATTTTCATTTCTGGATGAACTATTCCTTTGCACATAGACAAATAAACTGCAAGTCATGCAAAAATGTAATGGGCAGCAGTACTGTCTGTGTGGTCATCCAGGTCTGCGAGTGACCGTCCGAGAAGGTCGTGACCATCTGTGAGGTTGTCCTCCCTGCTTCCCGTCTTTGGTCTGCGCACCAACATGTGATCCAGCATATGGAAGTAGCGGAAAGACTCGACGGCAGAGAGGCGTGCGGCTGGACTTCGGTAGCTGGCCAGTTTGATCTTACGGTACTTATGTTTAAGGCTCTTCCAGCGGTTACGGATCTGGGTGACGGTGAAGTGGATGCCCCGCTTTGCCAGACTCAAACGGAGGCGTCGGAAGAGGGATTCGTTGCGCTGACGCTTCTTGTCCAGCTCGTGGACCAGACCCATCTGCTCTATGAGGGCCAGCATGGCAAACGTGTCCGGTTCTGTCCACCACTTGTTGGGCTTCTTCTCATTCAGGTTCATGGTGTCCTTCCTGTTTGAGGCCCCTAAACATGCAACCCACTTCAGAAAGAGGGCAGATTAAAAAACTCGTTCAGATGATCTAACTCTCATTACTACCTTTAAAATGCATTTAAAAAGTATCACCATGAAATCAAAATGGACAATTCTTGTGATTTATGGAATATTGTAGTATGTTTTTATAAACGATTTATTCCTTTGACATCTTTTTTTTTTTAATTCATGTGCCCTCATAATGTTTAATCAAAAAGATTAAAGACTCCTGCTTGCAACAACATCTCTTCTCTTCTTTGATGATGTGTTTACTGGCGCGAGGGCAGGAAACCTGTCACTCAAATGAGATTGACCAATAGCAAACCATAATCATCCAATCAATTCCCTGTGGACAAAAGTAAGTATCACCCTATTTTTTTTTTTGGGGGGGGGGGTGTTGAGAAGCCGTTTCACTCGGATATACATCACAAAAGGGAAGAAAACATTATCGTAACTTCCATTTCATGCTGACTTTCATTTAATGTCAGTACTTTTTCATATTGTGAGGTCTGAGACCACAATGAAAATATAGGACTCAAAATATAATATAAACCTGAAAAATACTTTTTAAGCTTTAGAATTTTCGAAATATAAAACAAGGAAACATTATGATGTCAAATTAATAAGAAATAGTTTAGTATAAGGGAAAGTTCACACAGAATGCACTGAACTGCTATTTTTTCTATGTAAATGTTTCATTGATCATTGTGTTTTAGCGTGTTGTCTTGCGCCATCTCGCGTATGGTGTTCCAAAAACGTGGCACTTTAAATTAAGAAATATAAAAACGTGCCTAGAAACCTTGCGTTTTTATTCATTTTAGGCTACTGTTTTAATGTGAGAATGGCCCATCAGTAGGTCAATTTTTTGACACTGGCCATTCGTAAAAAGGGGAGCGTACCAAATACTCAAATTGGCATGAAACAGAAATTACAATCGCATTTTTTGCGATTTTTTGCGTATATCTTTTGCGCACATTTTTTGCGTATATCTGAGTGAAACGACTTCTCAAAAGAGAGATAAAAATGTAGAGATCTTTTATGTTTTGATCTTAATTTTATCCTTCGATTGTCGTTTGAAAATTGCTACGATCTCATGTGAGTGACGATGCTGGAGGGGGGAGGGATTATTATTGTCCCGCCCTCATACCGGTGCACACCTCATAGATTATGAGGGCACATATGAATTTAAAAAATAATAATAATAATAAAATAATGACGTGCAAAAATATGTCAATTATAATAAACTCGTGTGTTCCATAAACAAACAATAATTGTCCGTTTTTATTTCATAAGACATTATTACATTTGTTTAAATATTTATTTATTTTCTATCAAAAACTTGTGTCAATTAATAACATTTGTAAAGGGGAAAAACAATTATTCATTTTGACTAACGTTATGGTCTCAGATGTTTGGACCCCAATGCAAGTCATTATTGTACGTTATACATAATTAGGTCTAGTCATTATTAAAATAAGTGAAATTCAGTATAAAACTCAACAGCATTAAGCATTCCCAGTCTACACAGACCTGTTAAGTTGTAGGCCTCCTGCACATACTGTAATGCAGCAGAGATTCATCGAAAACGCCTCCGCATCGACCGAAACGCAGTAAATTGGCGAAATGACAGGCTGCGTAAAAACATTTAGACGGTTGTTGATTGTGAAATATTTTGAATGATATCCAGACACAGAACATCTGTTTACTTCATACTGTCCCTTTTCCCTCTTGGTTTCTCATAGAAATAGAACGAGCGGGTAGAATTGCCATTAGCCTGAACCATGAAATCTGGCAGAGGCCGGTTAGCGGTCCGAATGATGTCTCTAATTAATCAGATACGATGGGTGTACAATTATTGTGACTCTTCGTTGTGTATTTTCAATTTAACGTCATTTAAAAATAACAATTGTTGTTTTACTAATGTTAATTATTGTCCAGAACGTTACTTGTGTTGGTCATCCAGCTGGCGTTGTCACGTGATAAATGTTACTTTTCACATCGCTGATTGGGATGGATCAATGACAGTCCTTTGTGAATATTTGATAATGAGTTTTGTAAATACTCGTGTACAGATTATTATGGCGTATTTTTGTTTTGTCTGTCACATAGGAATCTGTGGACTGAATTTAATTTAATGATTATTCATTTAGGTGTACAACTGTCCACCGTAAGACAGAACAAACCCTGAGATTTGGATGTGGCTCACTTATCGATTCTGCTTTCTGGGCCATCAAGCGCCCCCTGTTGGAAGGTACCTACTTTGATAGAAAACATTTACCTTTTGCTTTGCTTTGCGGTGCTATTTCTGCTGCTCCCGCTTGTGTTTGAATGACATTACATCGTGACCTCGTTACTGCCACCTCGTGTATCGGAGTAGATGAAGTGTTTCTCAACGGGGGTGTTCAAACAACAACGGGGGGCGTTGGAAGCAAGATTTTTGAAAGGGGGGCGTTCAGGTGTCTTGGAACCGTGACAGTGGAATTTGTAGTTGTGGTCAGAGAATAGCCACACATATGTGTATTTGAAGTCACAGAGAGAAATGTTTTAAGAGTTGCAGACTTGTAGACTTTTTTTCTCTCTCCCACAAACAAAAAACAACAGATTCACAAATCACATTCTACAAATCAATGTGACGATACCAGGGACACTCGCTGGTAATAACAAACGAATGTGACAGTGACATTCTGTAGGCTACTGTCAGTGGCGCAAAAAGTGGGTATGCGCTATATGCGGCGCATAGGGGCGCAGCACCATGGGGGGCGCCAAAGCGATGGTAATTTTTTTATTTATTATTAATTTCGTTTAAAAAATATATATAGGCCTATATTGTATTTTCTATATGTAGCTGCTGTTGTGCGTTTTTTAAATCATTTCTGCATTTCTTCAATGTTATATAAAATTTTAGAGGACTAACAGGCTAGAGTAGGCGCCCTCCAGGAGAAGGGGGGCGGGGTGATATCGCGAGCGCGCGGGGGCGCCGTGAGCGCTGAGCGAGCAGGTACGAGTACTGAGTTGTCGAAAAAGATGGATAAAACAAAATGCTGTGGGGCTAAAAATAGAAAAAGAAAGCGGGAAAAGGAGATGGCATGTCAACTGATGCGACAGCAGCTAAATAAGTGCATGCTGAAAGCCAACAGGTAGGATTTAAAGTGTGACATCCAGGCATCTAGGCTATCTATATCTCTGTGGCCATCGGGACTACCGGGAGATTCCCAGTGGGCCGACGTGCTTTTTCGGCCGATACATCTCATACTTTTTTTCTTTTTTTTCTTAACGGCCCATAAAACTCGTACATCGGCGGCCCATTGTTTTTTTGTTTTTTTGTTTTGCTTAATTGGCGGCGCTGGGTTAGTGCCGGTGTAATGCATTGGTCAAAAAAAGTCAGCGTTAGTTTTTTTTCTGACACACCGGCCCATGAAACATGTCATCATGTGCTTATCTCTTTCAAGTAGAAATTAGTACAAAACTAATTATGAAAGTTTCCTTTATTTTTCAGTGCATTTGTTTTACAATATAGGCCTATGGCTATTACTATCATGGGATTAATATTATAACTATTATTATGTAGTAGTGTAATGTAGACAGACACTAACTAAAAGAGGTTTGAAATTTTCTTTGTTTAATTTGCACCCTGAATATGGGTTCGAGCTTTTAATTTTGAACTCTCAAAGTGCACCAGACTGATGAATTTAACATTAAAGAACACAACATTTTCTTACGGGGGGGGGCATGCCCCCGAACCCCCCTAGACAAACAGAGGTCCACCTACCACAGTTTTACCTAAAATCCTGTGAGAAACACTGGTATTGCTGTTCCAATTGAGCTTATAGTTTTTTTAGGGGGGTTCATCACGGTGGAGTAACTATAGTTTAATTGTATTAATAAATGACAATTTTGCACTTTTATCTGTTAGCTCTCACTCGTTCCTACTCACTTATTACATGGCACACTTATTTTTTTATTTTTCTTTGTTTGAGGGGGGGGCGCAAAAATTGTTGCTGCATACCCCTCTGACACTGGGTAGTTGCGCCCCTGGCTACTGTAGATTATCTCTGCACTATAGCATTTGGTAACAATTGAAATTAATGCTAGTTAAGAGATAACAGAATGTATCGTCACATTGATTTGTGACGATTTGTGATATTTACAATTGTGAAAAATTAAGATATGTTAAACAATTTTGGTATTCTGATGAGGGACAAAAAGCATTTTTCTTAAAGAAACAAAGAAGCACAAATTATGAAGACAAACATGACAAACTGTGTGTCTGTTACACCTTGACTTGTAATGTGCAACTTAATAATAGGTTTGTTTTAAGTGTAACAGCCGTAATATGTGACAGAAAAACATCAAGACTCACTTTCATGTTGGGCCTATTGTGTCTTGTGACCGTTTCGTAGACACGACAGACCAGAAAGATGACCTAAAAGAATATCGCAGTAAATACTCTAATGTAGAAGGACTGTTGTGTAATTTTCATATGCTGTATTTGTTCATTCATTTTTATGCCTGTTTGACCGAGCTCAAAGAGTACAAAGAAACAAGATGTCCGGTGTCATCTGCTAGTGAGGAAAAACATCATTTACAATCAAGATTACAAACTTTTACAATAGATCAGAAGAGAGGGTTTCTGTATTATGTATAAATTACAGCTAATGTCTCTTTTCTTATTCACCGTACACTTTAGTAAATCGGGCACTCGTAATTGTTGCATAAAGATTATGCCTGAATTTTATCCTTAGCCTTTACAAGGGCAGGTAACGTTAGTTAAGAATTTGTTCAGCTGATTGAAGACAACTTTTTCAATGATCTTGCCTATGAAAGGAAGATTTGAGATCGGACTATAGTTGCTTAATATGGTCTTATCCAGATTGCTCTTTTTCAGGAGGGGCTTGACAACTGCAGTTTTCAGGGAGTTTGGAAAATTCCCAGAGATAAGTGAGGCATTTACCACTTCTAGGAGATCTGCTTCTAAGCTGTTTAACACACTTTTGAAGAAAGATGTGGGAAGTGCGTCAAGGGCGCAGGTTGATGTTTTAAGGTGCTGTGCGGTTTCTTCTAAAATTTTGCCATCAATTTCTTCAAAATCAGACATGATATCCAGCTTTCTCAGGTTGTTGTCTGATCTGTCTGACCCCAGCGCAACTCAAGGATGTGCTGATCACCTTTCTGATATTATTGATTTTCTCAGAGAAGAATGAAGCAAACTCCCTGCACTTGCTGTCTGAGAGCAATTCATTGGGAATCTAGCTTGGGGGGTTTGTCGGTCTCTCTACAGTAGCAAAAATAGTGCGTGCGTTGTTTAAGTTTCTGTTTATAATATTTGAGAAGAAAGTCTGTCTAGCTTTGCCTAGTTCCATATTGAAAGCATGGATGGTGTCTTTGTAGATGTTATAATGGACTAGAGATGGGCATAAATACATGGAAATGTATTTAAAATACAAATACAAAATACTGTGTGGAAAAATGTATTTAAATACAAATACAAAATACTGTGTGAAAAAATGTATTTAAATACAAATACAGTATTTTGTATTTTGAAAATACACAAAATACATGTGAAATTGGCCTTCCAGTGCAGGCATAGGTCACAGTGAATAAAGAAACTACATAGGCCTAATTGCTGGCCATTACAAATAAACTTGTGCAAAATAGCAGCCATTTATATACTTATTTCTGACCAGGTTACAATGTAGTCGATTACTTGTGGTGAACACTATTAAAAAAGTCATACTGCATGTAAAACTGTGGGAACCTTTTCTGCTTTCTAGCAAAGAATATGACCCAAAATCTGACTTCACAGTAACAATATATATCATGGTTTCACAATTCTCAATATCAGTTTTAATACAACAGCAAAAACTGAATTTCAAACTCTGTTGAAGGTTTTTTTTTTTTTTTTTTTTTTTTTGCGGGTAGTAGTCCAATGCTTTTTAAGTAGGGGTGTAACGATACCCTCATCTCACGATTCGATACATATCACGATACTGAACTCACGATACGATATTATTGAGATACTCCACGACATATGATAAAAAGGTTAACAAAAAATTTACTGTTGATTAAAATGCTAAATTTGATATTACATTGTGTGTAAATGAATAGGTTTGGACTCTGTGCTGGAACCCCAAAGCACAGGACAATAGAGACACCAGAATAACAATATTCATGATTCTGAAGCTGAAAACAGAATTATTTAAGACGAATATGCTTGCACTCTTTCAATGACTAGATATGTATGTGGCCAAATAATGTAGGCCACATACTTTACTTTACAGTTAAAGGGATAGTTCACCCCAAAATGAAAATTCTGTCAGTAATTTCTCTCCCTCATGTTGTTCAACCCCGTAAGACTTTCGTTCATCTTCGGAACACAAATGAAGATATTTTTTATTAAATCTGAGAGCTGGATCACTCCTCCATAGGCTTCTAAGGGATCGAAACTGACCGGCCCAAAAGTTATGAAAGACATCGTTAAAATAGTCCGAGTGACTACAGTGGCTCAATCTTAAGTTTATCAAGCGACGAGAATACTTTTTGTGCGCAAAAAACAAACAAAAATAACGACTTTATTCAACTATTCATTTCCTTCTCTGTGGGCCTCGAGATTTCACGTAGTGTAACAGCGCAGCGCTTCTGTGTTGTACGTCACACACATCACACACATGACCAGCGTCGGCCAATAGTGAGCCTACGTGTGACATACAACACAGAAGCGCTGCGCTGTTACACTACGTGAACTATCTCGAGGCCCACAGAGA